CCCCCTTACCCCTCCCCTTACCTCCTCCCCACCCCTCCCTCTCATCCTGAACGGTTAATTTAAGTTCATATATGGAGATGAAATGGCGGTGTGTTGGGGAGAGGGAGATGATGTGTTGGGGAGAGGGAGATGATGTGTTGGGGAGAGGAGATGATGTGTTGGGGAGAGGAGATGATGTGTTGGGGAGAGGGGATGATGTGTTGGGGAGGAGGGATGATGTGTTGGGGAGGGGAGATGATGTGTTGGGAGAGGGAGATGATGTGTTGGGGAGGAGATGATGTGTGGGAGGAGATGATGTGTTGGGGGAGGAGATGATGTGTTGGGGAGGGAGATGATGTGTTGGGAGGAGAGAAGATGTGTTGGGAGAGGAAGATGTGTTGGGGAGGGAGAGGGAGATGATGTGTTGGAGAGGAGATGATGTGTTGGGGAGAGGGAGATGATGTGTTGGGGAGAGGGAGATGATGTGTTGGGGAGGAAGAAGATGTGTTGGGGAGAGGAAGATGATGTGTTGGGGAGGGAAGATGTGTTGGGGAGGAAGGGGCTGTTGGGAGGAAGGGGCTGTGTTGGGGAGGAGGGCTTGTTGGGAGGAAGGGGCTGTGTTGGGGAGGGAAGGGCTGTGTTGGGGGGGAAGGGCTGTGTTGGGGGGAGGGGCTGTTTTAGGGAGGTGTATGTTTCTGTGTCAACAAGGGAGACTACTGTACACATCAGCACGGACTAGGCTGTGGCCATCATGACCAGGTTGTGAGTCGCTATGGCCAGGCTGTGGGTCACTATGGCCAGGCTGTGAGCCACTGTAGCCAGACCGTGGACCAGTGTGGCCAGACGATAGATCAGTGTGGCCAGGCCGTGGACTACACAGAGGACGCCAGTATCCCCTTTACACGGTGGACATGTGTGTGTGTGAAGCAGGCGGGTTTTTACGACACAAGCTGGTGGCGATATGGTTATACGCTTCATCCCGGCAGCTCAGACCCGATATTAATCAGTGGAAGCTTCAATCGTGGGCTACCTGGCCTTCCAATAGTCGCTACACCGCTCTCCTTATTTTATAGACCAGATAATGTTTTCATTTTTATTATATTTTTTGCATTTTACTGTCATTCAAAGTCCAGCTAATCCTTGTTTTATTTGCTCTGTTAGTGAATTCCAACAAATTATTTTTTTCCCTTTGATATTTAAAATCCAACTAATTCTTCTACTTGATTTTTTTATTTGCTCCATTATTGAAAATCCATCTAATTCTCCTTCTGTTTTGATCTGTTACTCAAGATACAACTAATTCTCCTACTTCCTTTTTTCTCTGTTTATTTAAGTCCAGTTAATTCTTTTTTTACATTTACTCATTTCTATCAGGGTCTTCCTGGGGTAGTGAAGATGTTTGCTCCCCTCTCGCCCCGCTCACATGTCACCCTACAGTGCCTCAGAGACCAGGAGGGACCATGTACTTGTAGTGTATGCAGCTTATGAGTTACCATTCTTCTTCTTCTTCTTCTTCTTCTTCTTCTTCTTCTTCTTCTTCTTCTTCTTCTTCTTCTTCTTCTTCTTCTTCTTCTTCTTCTTCTTCTTCTTCTTCTTCTTCTTCTTCTTCTTCTTCTTCTTCTTCTCATATTTCTTCTTAAAAATAAACAACTATAACTCATTAACTCTCACCCAATTAATTTGTAACTAAGCAAACTTGTACCTCCATCACCATCACGTTAACCATCACGTTCACCATCCTCACCATCACCACAGTCCCCATCACCCAGTCACATCCTCCATCCAGTCAACACCATCACCACCACGGTCACCATCCTCACCATCACCACAGTCAACACCATCACCACCACGGTCACCATCCTCACCATCGCCGTCGCACACACCCCTGGCCGCTCCTACTTCAGTTGTCACCGCTCGCCACCACCAACTGTACCGTGAGCAGTACAGGGGATTATCTGGCTTCCCCCCCCTCCTTCCTCTTCATCCTCCTCTGCCTTGCCCTTCCATTCTTCCTCTTCCTCCTCTTCCTTGCCCTTCTCTTCTTACTCCTCCTCCTCCTCTTCTTCTCCCCCTCAACCTCCCCACTCTAAGACTCCAGATTCCAGATATGTGATCCCCCCTCCCATCATAGACCCCTCCCCTTATCACCCCCCTCCCCTCATATCACCCCCTCCCCTCATATCACCCCCTCCCCCCTCCTCCTCACCCCTCCCCTCATCTCACCCCTCCCCTTCACCTGGCGATAAAATCCCTCAGGAGAGAAAACGAATATGTAATGTGAATATATCTGTTGTAGTCTGATCCATCTTGGAACAGGATCAAGAGAGAGAGAGAGAGGCATTCTGAAATAGATGTTCTCAGGAATTATCTTCATTTAGGTACCCGGTGAACTTGGGTTTGTCTGTCTGTCTGTCTCTGTCTGTCTGTCTGTCTCTGTCTCTGTCTGTCTGTCTGTGTCCGTCTATCTAGGAACAATACATCACATCCAGATCCAATCATTTATACGTCTCTCTCTCTCTCTCTCTCTCTCTCTCTCTCTTTTCTCTCTTTAACCATTGTAAGTGTACGTGTCATCAACCTTTTTATTTTTTAAGTACGTGTAATTCTGTACGTGTGGGGTGACTGTCCGTGATCTGTGGAGGTGTACTTAGTATGTTTCTTGATACAGTCGTCTACTCTTCACCACACCCACCCCACCCACCCACCCACCCCACACACACCCCACCACCCCACCCACACACACCACACACCCACACTCAATGCCCCACACACGCAGAAGCATCTAGTTGGGGTAATAGGTTAGTTTCTCCTCCCACTTTTCCCTTTCTCTCTTTCTTATTTCCTTCTCTCCTCCTCCCATTTCCTTGCCTCTCCCTCCCACCCTCCTAATTTCCCATCTTTCCTCCTTCGTCTTTCCATTTATTCTCTCCTCTCCTTCCCCTCTGCCTCCTCTCTCTCTCTCTCTCTCTCCTCCTTCTCTCCTTTCCTTCCTCCTCTCCTTCCCTCTCCTCCCTCCCCACCCCCCCACCTACGCTCGTTGAACACTGCTCAGAGTTAAAAGTTATAAAGATTCTCGGTTAAAACTAAAAATAAATAGAAATGACTTTTGACCATATTTCCTACCTGTTCCTCCCTCTAGCTAGTTACTGTTCCTTCCTCTAGCTAGTTACTGTTCCTCCCTCTAGCTAGTTACTGTTCCTCCCTCTAGCTAGTTATTCACTCCCTCTAGCTAGTTACTGTTCCTTCCTCTAGCTAGTTACTGTCCCTCCCTCTAGCTAGTTACTGTTCCTTCCTCTAGCTAGTTACTGTCCTCCCTCTAGCTAGTTACTGTTCCTCCCTCTAGCTAGTTACTGTTCCTCCCTCTAGCTAGTTACTGTTCCTTCCCTCTAGTTACTGTCCCTCCCTCTGCTAGTTACTGTTCTCCCTCTAGCTAGTTACTGTCCTCCCTCTGTGTCTGTTCCTTCCTCTAGCTAGTTACTGTCCTCCCTCTAGCTAGTTACTGTTCTCCCTCTAGCTATTTGTTCCTCCTCTGTGTTACTGTTCCTCCCTCTAGCTAGTTCTGTCCTCCCTCTAGCTGTCTATTCCTTCCTCTAGCTAGTTACTGTTCCTCCTCTAGCTATTACTGTTCCTCCTCCCTAGCTAGTTACTGTCCCTGTCCCTCCTAGTAGTTACTGTTCCTCCCTCTAGCTAGTTCTGTTCACTCCCTCTAGTGATTACTGTTCCTCCCTCTAGCTAGTTACTGTTCCTCCTACTCCCAGTCAGTCACTCACCTGTCCCTCTTACTCCCAGTCAGTCACTCACCTGTCCCTCTTACTCCCAGTCAGTCACTCACCTGTCCCTCTTCTCCCAGTCAGTTACTCACCTGTCCCTCCTACTCCCAGTCAGTCACTCACCTGGCCCTCTTACTCCCAGTCAGTCACTCACCTGTCCCTCCTACTCCCAGTCAGTCACTCACCTGTCCCTCCTACTCCCAGTCAGTCACTCACCTGTCCCTCCTACTCCCAGTCAGTCACTCGCCTGGATGAGTTAGGTTAGCGTTGGGTTAGGTTAGGTTAGGTTAGGTTAGGTTAGGTTAGGTTAGGTTAGGTTAGGTTAGGTTGGGTTGTTGACCAGAAGGCTGAACCGATCACTCACACACACACACACACACACGAGTGATGAAGATTACTAACGTCCCGGAGGCCAACACAGGAATAAAGTTTTAACACACATCGTCCTGGAGGCCACTGATAGCGTCTTTAACCTCAGCTCTCTGACCTCTCACGGACACAGCCTCAACTCTCTGACCTCTTACGGACACAGCCTCAACTCTCTGACCTCTCACGGACACGCCTCAACTCTCCTGACCTCTCACGGACACAGCCTCAACTCTCTGACCTCTCCGGACACAGCCTCAACTCTCTGACCTCTAGGGCACAGCCTCAACTCTCTGACCTCTTACAGACACAGCCTCAACTCTCACCTCTCACGGACACAGCCTCAACTCTCTCACCTCTCACGGACACAGCCTCAACTCTCTGACCTCTCACGGACACGCCTCAACTCTCTGACCTCTCACGGACACAGCCTCAACTCTCTGACCTCTCACGGACACAGCCTCAACTCTCTGACCTCTCACGGACACAGCCTCAACTCTGACTCTTTGGACACAGCCTCAACTCTCTGACCTCTCACGGACACACCCTCAACTCTCTGACCTCTCACGGACACAGCCTCAACTCTCTCACCTCTCCTGGGACACAGCCTCAACTCTCTGACCTCTCCGGACACAACCTCAACTCTCTCACCTCTCACGAGACAGCCTCAACTCTCTGACCTCTCACGGACGCCTCAACTCTCTGACCTCTCACGGACAGGCCTCAACTCTCTGACCTCTCACGGACACAGCCTCAACTCTCTGACCTCTCACGGACACAGCCTCAACTCTCTCACCTCTCATGGACATAGCCTCACTCTCTGACCTCTCACGGACACAGCCTCAACTCTCTGACCTCTCACACACAGCCTCACTCTCTGACCTCTCACGGACACAGCCTCAACTCTCCTGACCTCTCAGGACGCAGCCTCAACTCTGACCTCTGGTGCCTCTGGTGCCTTTGGTGCCTCTGGTGCCTTTGGTGCCTCTGGTGGCTCTGGTGCCTCCTGGTGGCTCCTGGTGCCTCTGGGCACCTGGTGCCTTTGTGGTGCCTCTCTGGTGGCTCTGGTGCCTCTGGTGCCTCTGGTGCCTCTGGTGGCTCTGGTGCCTTTGGTGCCTCTGGTGGCTCTGGTGCCTCTGGTGGCTCTGGTGCCTCTGGTGGCTCTGGTGCCTTTTGCCTCTGGTGTCCTTCTGGTGCCTCTGGTGCCTCTGGTGGCTCTGGTGCCTTTGGTGGCTCTGGTGCCTCTGGTGGCTCTGGTGCCTCTGGTGGCTCTGGTGCCTTTGGTGCCCTGGTAGCTCTGGTGCCTCTGGTGGCTCTGGTGCCTTTGGTGCCTCTGGTGGCTCTGGTGCCTCTGGTGCCTTTGGTGCCTCTGGTGGCTCTGGTGCCTCTGTGGTGGCTCTGGTGCTCTGGTGGCTCTGGTGGCTCTGGGTGGCTCTGGTGCCTCTGGTGGCTCTGGTGCCGGTGCTCTTGCCTTTGTGGTGCCTCTGGTGCCTCTGGTGGCTCTGGTGGCTCTGGTGCCTCTGGTGCCTCTGTGGTGCCTCCTGGTGCCTCTGGTGCCTCTGGTGCCTCTGGTGCCTCTGGTGCCTCCTGGTGGCTCTGGTGCCTCCTGGTGGCTTTGGTGCCTCTGGTGCCTCTGGTGGCTCTGGTGCCTCTGTGGTGCCTCTGGTGCCTCTGGTGGCTCTGGTGCCTCTGGTGCCTCTGGTGCCTCTGGTGCCTCCTGGTGCCTCTGGTGCCTCTGGTGCCTCTGGTGCCTCTGGTGCCTCTGGTGGCTCTGGTGCCTCTGGTGCCTCTGGTGCCTCCTGGTGCCTCTGGTGCCTCTGGTGCCTCTGGTGCCTCCTGGTGCCTCTGGTGGCTCTGGTGCCTCTGGTGCCTCTGTGGTGCCTCTGGTGCTCTGGTGCCTCTGGTGGCTCCTGGTGCCTCTGGGTGGCTCTGGTGCCTCTGTGGTGGCTCTGGTGGCTCTGGTGCCTCTGTTGGTGCCTCTGGTGGCTCTGGTGCCTCTGGTGGCTCTGGTGCCTCTGGTGGCTCTGGTGCCTCTGGTGCCTCTGGTGGCTCTGGTGCCTCTGGTGGCTTTGGTGCCTCTGGTGCCTCTGGTGGCTCTGGTGGCTCTGGTGCCTCTGGTGCCTCTGGTGGCTCTGGTGCCTCTGGTGGCTCTGTGGTGCCTCTGGTGGCTCTGGTGCCTCTGGTGCCTCTGGTGCCTCTGGTGGCTCTGGTGCCTCTGGTGGCTCTGGTGCCTCTGGTGGCTTTGGTGCCTCTGGTGCCTCTGGTGGCTCTGGTGCTCTGGTGGCTCTGGTGCCCTGGTGCCTCTGGTGGCTCTGGTGCTCTGGTGGCTCTGGTTGGTGGCTCTGGTGCCTCTGGGCTGGTGCCCTGGTGTCCCTGGCTTCCTGGCCCTGGTGTCCTGGCTCTGGTGGCTCTGGTGGCTCTGGCCTGGTCTGGTCTGGTGTCTGGTGCCTCTGGTCCCTGGTGGCTCTGGTGCCCTGGTGGCTCTGCCTGGTGGCTCTGTCTGGTGGCCTTGGCTGGTGGCCCGGTGGTCTGGTGCTCTGGTGGCTCGCCTCTGGTGCCCTGGTGCCTGTGGCTGGTGCCTCTGGTGCCTCTGGTGCCCCAGGTTGCGGCCTCTGGTGCCTCTGGTGCCCTGGTGGCTCTGTCTGGTGCCTCTGGTGCCTCTGGTGGCTCTGGTGCCCTGGTGGCTCTGGTGCCCTGGTGCCTCTGGTGCCTCGGTGCCTCTGGTGCTCTGGTGCCTCTGGTGCCTCTGGTGCCTCTGTGCCTCTGGTGGCTCTGGTGCCTCTGGTGCCCGGCTCTGGTGCCCTGGTGCCCTGGTGCCTCTGGTGGCTCTGGTGGCTCTGGCCTCTTGTGGCTCTGGTGCCTCTGGTGGCTCTGGTGCCTGGTGCCCCTGTGCCTCTGGTGGCTCTGGTGGTTTTATGGCATTCAGAAACACTAGACTGCCCACGCTAACAATCAGAGGCACTGGGAGCAGCCCTGTTGGCACTCAGTCACTCACCACAGCTCTTCCTGCACCTCCCACCAGCCTCCTTCAATCACCCCAACCAGCCTCCTTCAATCACCCCAACCAACCTCCTTAATCACCCCAACCAGCCTCCTTCAATCACCCCAACCAACCTCTTCAATCACCTCAACCAGCCTCTCAATCACCTCAACCAGCCTCCTTCAATCACCCCCACCTCCGTCAGTGATCTCCGTGGATGATGATCGTGTCCGGTCTTAGAGTGTTGGTGGGGCGGCAGTACAGGGGCGGCAGTGTTGGTGGGGCGGCAGTGTTGGTGGGGCGGCAGTGTTGGTGGGCGGCAGGTAGGGGCGGCAGTGTTGGTGGGGCGGCAGTGTTGGTGGGGCGGCAGGGTGGGGCGGCAGGGGTGGGGCGCAGTGTTGGTGGGGCGGCAGTGTTGGTGGGGCGGCAGTGTCGGGTCACAGTACACACCTAGCTGTGTAATGCCCCGCCCTATCTCAGTAATACAGTCGGACACTGTTATTGACGTGAACCAGCCTGGCCGTCCAGTTGTATACACACGTAGATAAAAATAAATAGAGAAACGGGGACTGCCACACACGACCATGATGAGATGTATCAAGTGAAACATGTATAGGGAGCAAGTAACAAGATCACTAGATTACAAGATGTTGTAACCGCTAGATTAAGGTTAGGATATAAGTACCTCTGGCAGTATGTTCCTCAAGCAGATGTAAACAAAACTAAATGTAAAGTGTGTGCACATATGGCCACACTTGAACACTACGTCTCGACTGTGTGAAGATAGAACCTTTTAGGACAGGTCCAACACTGTGTGTGAAATGGCACAACACTTCATCTCTAATGGCAAGATAGCCGACATATTAAGATTGTATCCACTTTTTTGCACTTAGTAACTATATCAGTTCTCATGTACAGAACCAAATACGCAATGTGCTTGAATACCTCCCACGTAAATGTGAATAACAAAGTGAGGCCAGACATACTGCCTACACGCCTGTACTCCAGCAGTTGTGAATAGTTACCTTTTATGTATAGAACTAAACAAATAATGTAAATGAAATACTGTGTAACATTCAGTGCCATAATATCCTGACCACGGGGTTAATTATTATGACCCTTTTATAAACTCTACTCTGTAATCCTTTTGCGCTACCGCTCACAGGATAGTATGGGTGCACAATAAACTAGCCATTGTGAAGTAAAATTCACACACAGGCAACCTACTGGCCCGGGGTTCTGGTGAGAGTGCGGGAAGGAAGGATTCGCAGGTGACGGGGAAGAAGTTGGAAATGTAAGCTAAGGTAAAGAATGGGGAAGGGGTGGGGCGATGAGGAAGGGTAGATTTGGGAAAGGGGAAGAGATGAGGGATATGGGAGATGGGGGAAAGGTTGAGAAATGAAGAGTAAAGGAGGAGAGATGAGGGAAAGGAAAGGGAGGGAGGGAAGGGTGGGGGGAGGAGGGAAGGGGAGAGGGGCTGTGATCGGTGTGGCACATTAGACCAGAGGAACCCTGGAGTGTGTTTGTACAGTATAATGCTTATTGTATTAGCCTCTGATCGTCTGGGAGCTGAGTCTACCAGGCCTCAGGCCACGGGGAGGGGGAGGGAGTGAGGAGGGTGAGGGAGGGTGAGGGAGAAGGTGGGTTAGGAGAGGTGAGGGAGTGAGGAGGGTGGGGGAGGGTGAGGGAGTAGGGAGGTGAGGGAGTGAGGAGAGGGGTGAGGAGGTGAGAGAGGTGTGAGGGAGGTTGGGAGTGAGGAGGGTGAGGAGGTGGGGAGAGGGGTGGGGGGAGGTAGGGAGGGTGAGGTGGGAGGAGGTGGGGAGGAGGATGGGGTGGGGGAGGTGGGAGAGGGGTGAGGGAGGGAGTGGGGAGAGGGTGGGGGTTGGGAGGGTGGGGGGGTGGGGAGGGGGTTGGGGTTGGGGAGGAGGATTGGGAGGGGTGGGAAGTAAGGAGAGGGGTGAGGGAGGGTGAGAGTCTCTACCTTCTGTTCTGAGTAAAAGATTTTATACTCTTCCTCTCATTCATTCTTTCTCATCACGTTTTATTGTTTTGTTGTTTGTGTCTGTCTGTCTTCTGGTTATACTTTATAATGTTTTATTATTTATTATCATTATTATTATCTCTTCTCTCAAATTTTAATCACTCCTTCAAAAGCCTCCCTCAAGCTCCTTTGAGTTCTACCTTGAGAAGTTAAAATAATAATGCTGAAGGAACTGTAATATTATGCTGGCCATTAACAGTCCTACATCTCTTAATGGTGACACGGCAATGAGGTCCCCACCTCCCCACCCCACACAGCCGCCCTCCTGTAAACTATTCACTAAATTTCTTCAACTTGCAGAGAATTTTTTTGGTTCTAATTACTGAAAAAAAAAAAAGGTTTGAGTTGATACATGATTCGCATTATTTTACAATTTTTCTTATTTACATATCTTTATCGACACAGTCTTTCTCATATCCTCGAACCAGCGGGATTTACATATTGAGAGAGAGAGAGAGAGGGGGGGCCTAAGGTAACATGCAATGATAATCCTCCTCCTCCATCCTTCCTTTACCCCTCCTAACCACTCCCATCTCCCTCTCTCCATCCCTCTCCTTTTTTTTTCTTCTCCCTCACCCCTCTCCTCTATCACCATCTCCCCATCACCCCTCTTCTCCCTTCCCCTCCTCCCCCATCCCCCTCTCCTCCCCATCATCTCTCTCCCATCACCCTCCTCCATCCCCTCCTCCCCATCACCCCTCTTTCCCATCACCCCTCCTCCCCATCACCCCCTGTCTCTCTATCACTCATCTCCCCATCACCCCTCTCCCCCATCTCACCCCTCTCCTCCCATCACCCCCTCCCTCCCCATCACCCCTCTCCCCTCCCCATCACCCCTCTCCTCCCCATCACCCCTCTCCTCCCCATCACCCCTCTCTCCTCTCCCATCACCCCTCTCCTCCCATCACCCTCTTCTCCCCATCACCCCTCTTCTCCCCATCACCCCTCTTCTCCCCATCACCCCTCTCCTCCCCATCACCCCTCCCTCCCCATCACCCTCTCTCTCCATCCATTCATCTCCCCATCACCTCTCTCCCCATCACCCCTCTTCTCCCCATCACCCCTCTCCTCCCCATCACCCCTCTCCTCCCCATCACCCCTCTCTCTCCATCATCTCCTCCCATCACCCCTCCTCCCCCATCACCCCTCTTCTCCCCATCACCCCTCTCCTCTCCCCATCACCCCTTCCTCTCCATCCTCCTCCCCTCACCCCTCACCTCCCCATCACCCCTCTCCTCCCCATCACCCTCTCCTCTCCCTCCTCCCCCATCACCCCTCCCTCCCCATCACCTCCCCTCCCCATCCCCTCTCCCCATCACCCCTCTCCTCCCCATCACCCCTCTCCTCCCCATCACCCCTCTCCTCCCATCACCCCTCTTCTCCCATCACCCCTTTCCTCCCCATCACCCCTCTCCTCCCATCACCCCTTTCCTCCCCATCACCCCTCTCCTCCCCATTACCCCTCTTCTCATCACCCCTCTCCTCCCCATCACCCCTCTCCTCCCATCACCCCTCTCCCCTCCCATCCCTCTCTCCCCCATCACCCCTCTCCTCTCTATCACTCATCTCCCCATCACCCCTCTCCTCCCCATCACCCCTCTCTCCCCCATCCCCTCTTCTCCTCATCACCCCTCTCTCCCCATCACCCTCTCCTCCATCCCCTCCTCCCATACCCTCTTCTCCTCATCACCCCTCTCCTCCCCATCACCCCTCTTCTCCCCATCACCCCTTTCCTCCCCATCACCCCTCTCCTCCCATCACCCCTCTCCTCCCATCACCCCTCTTCTCCCCATCCCCTCCTCCCATCACCCCTCTCCTCCCCATCACCCTCTCCTCCCCATCCCCTCTTCTCCCCATCACCCCTTTCCTCCCCATCACCCCTCTCCTCTCCATCACTCATCTCATCACCCCTCTCCTCCATCACTCATCTCCCCATCACCCTCTTCTCCCCATCACCCCTCCCCAACCTGGACAGGGTGACGGCAGTGTGTGTGTGGGGAGCTTGACAATGTGTCGGTTGTAAACGTCACCATATTTCCTCACTAATGATCTTGTCGCTCGAGCTAAAACTTGGCTGACATATATACCGAATAACATATTGACAAGTCCTCTCCAACCTCCTCCTCGACCTACCCTCCTCCTCGACCTACCCCTCCTCCTCGACCTACCCCACCCGCCTTCTCGACCTACCCTTACCCTCACCCTCGACCTGCCCTTACCCTCACCCTCCTCCTCGACCTACCCCCACCCTCCTCCTCGACCTACCTTACCCTCACCCTCCTCCTCGACCCTACCCCACCCTCCTCTCGCCCTACTCTCACCCTCCTCCTCGACCTACCCTTACCCTCACCTCTGACCCTACCCCCTCCTCCTCGACCTACCCCCCACCCTCCTCCTCGACCTACCCACCACCCTCCTCCCTCCTCGACCTACCCCCACCCCACCTCCTCCTCGACCTACCCCACCCTCCTCCTCGACGTACCCTTACCCCCACCCTCCTCCTCGACCTACCACCACCCTCGGCCTACCCCCACCCTCACCTCGACCTACCCCACCTCACCCTCTCATTCCCCCACCTCACCTCGACCTCCCCCACCCCTAATTAACCTCCTCTTCCCCCTCCTATGAAATCAGATAATGGGGGAAAGGTGAGGAGCTGGGGAAAAGGGTGGGAGGGAGAAAGAAGGGTGGGAGGAATGAGGAGAAAGGGGGGTGGGAGGAGAAGAGGTGGAGGGAGAGTGGGAGAAATGGTGGGAGGGTGTGTATAATGGGAGGACTGATTGTGGTGGTGGAGAGGGGATGAAAGGGGTAGAAGAGGGTCGGAGGGAGGAGGGATGGAGAGGGAAGGTAGGAGTACAAGTGTGTCGTGAAGTGGATGGGTGA